TCAGGCCTGCTCTTTGCTTCCTGGGATGCAATTCCAGTCTCCCCCAGTATTCCTTAGAGTAGAAGCAAAGCAGAAGAGCTGCCAGAAATCTCCAGCAGAAATCTCCAGCTCAAGGAAAATTTGCTTGTGATCCCACTGCTGTTTTAGCATTACTGACGCTTAAGCACCAGCACGTTTACTTCACAGTCCTTTGAACCAAGCTGGGACCACTTGAATTTGTGTGTTAACGCATCAGGGCGAGGCAGCACACAGAAAAGGGAGACAACACTTCCGAATGTCAGTCTACCACCCAAACCATTAAGCTGTCCCTCTGCCTTTCTGTACCTATTTTGCATGATCAGTGCTTAAAACCCGGAAGGACCATTACCACGGGAGGTACACAGACTTACTGTGAAATCAGAATCAGAAATCTTCTAATGCACTCTGAAGTTCCTGAAAACAAGTCAGAACCCAACGTGCTATTTTCGTTAAGATTGCACAAAGGGAAAACAGTTTCTGACAGCTTTTTTTGCATTTCTCCATTGTAGAAGACTGGGTTTTTTTGCAAGCTATTTACTTTCTTTTGAAATATAACGTTCTATCTTTTCTGTGAGACCCAGAGCATGAGCTAAACCTTTACTGAAAGGGTAAGCAATAATGTTTTCTTCTATTTAGCATGCTTTAGTAAATAATACTTCATCATTTGTTTGCTAGCAAGTAAGAACTGATTTTTCTTCCAGCCAGCCACAGTGTCTTTCAGGTAAAACCAGGGCATGATCCAAGCTGCTAATAAAAAGCGTTTTTACTAAAACCGAAGACAACTGTGCTGCTGAATTAATTCAGTTTGTGTGTAGAAAGGGAAGAATGGTTTGCGAGCATCAGAATTTCAGCAATTCAGTTTGGAAGAAGAGAGTGACATGACTTAAGCGTCTCTGAAACATTAGGCTCTGCTTTCCCTCTTGAAAGCAGTGCTGCTTACGTATCTTCTCGCCACCAGTTACCCATGTTTTGTATGGGGCTCGTCGCTGCCCTGGGGACCCCAGAAGGGCCAGAGATGCTGTACAGGGAAGGGCCAGGGACACAAGGAGCACAAACCTTGTCCTGAAGGAACGCTTGTGGAATGGACTCCTCCAGCTCCAGCTGCTATCCTCTTCGCTCACACTGCATGTTCTATATAAGCATGGAACCAAAAAAAGCCCCATTGGTGCCTAAATATACAAGTAACAATTGCTTGCAGATGTTTTATCATAATGTTAACTTTTTTCCTTTTATCTCTTTTTTTTTTCCCCTCTTGTTTAGATTTACTGGAGAAGAATATTTGAATACACAAGGCATCCAAGTGATGCCTGTGGGATATGGAAGGATTTTGTGGCTCTTGTTCCAAACGTGCATCTCAAACTCCACTTCTGAAGAAGCTTTCAGAAGTCAGCAACACCATAGCATACACACAGTATTAAAATAAAACAGGTTCCCACCTCCCACACACTGAATGTAGGTATTTCATTAAAGACTGAGATGGATTTACATTAATATGGTATACTTTTGATCTGGTGAGACACCTGCCCAGATAGAACTATGGGGCTTATATGCGAGCCTGGAATTTCCACGGGCCACCCAACCCTCCAGAGGCTGTAGGATTCCCTGAAACAAAGCAAAAAAATAAAGGGAAATAGAGAAAGAGAGTAGAGAATTTAACTTACACAGCAACTGTGAAGTAATAAAGGGACAGAGTTACTAGCAGTCAGAGCTGCTACCCAAATTATCAGAAAAAAGACCTGTGCACTTGCACAAATAAAGTATTCAAAAAAGTATTGTTTGGGCAATGAAGCAGTAGGATCAGCCCAGTCCTCTCTGCTCACTGACACCCTGTACTCCCTTTCTATATTATTAGGTAATCTGAGAATAAGGTATGATATAGAAGTCACACAAATAAGACGCAGGATTCTTAATGTTCTGTTATAAAGAAACCAAGTGTATAGCACAATGTTTACTTTATAGATTATATAAAATGTTTATTAGGAAGTAAAGTGCTCAGTTTTACAGATCAATACATCCTTGATCATTGTTAGAAGACTTGCATAATTAACAGCTTCCTAATAAGACCTTTGTACATTACTATGCAAAAACATTACCTTTGTAATAATTGACAAATGATATTATAATCTAAAGTTGAGAAATGAAATAATAAAATGTTTGTAACATTTGTCTAGTGGCCATGCACTTACTGCAAGGCCCATTGTCAACACACGGGTACCCCATGAAAGCTTACTGCACTTCAAGATGAAGTTTGTTATTAAGTAACGACACGTTACAGAAATATACCTCAAATACAGCTATGAATGCAAACGTCTTCATTTTCATAATAAACATATACTACAAATAATAAAAAAAAATTAACTGTGTGATTGAATTTACATTTTGAAAGACACATTTTTACAGGAAACCCATTTAAAACCATACTGATAGGTTTAGTTTTGCTTTTTTCTCCCCCCAGGAAGGCCCTGCCTCACCAACAGATGACCTTCTGCACACTCTGCATCACTTCTGCACACTCGCCAGCCCCTGCTGCCATAAGCCTCAGCATTCCACATGCTCAACAGGCCACAGGCATGAACCTTAACACAAGGTATTCTTGGTAAGGTTCCAGCTGATTGCTGGACAACTCGAGCTCGGTCATTTGGCCAAAGTCATTGATTTTCAGTACATGATTATTTAAATACAATCTTAGCATTTAGGTAACCCTTGACCCTAGAAACGCAACATCAATTACATGTTACATACATGTAATTAGTTAGCACGCCTCAAATTTTAAGCTATAAATCATGTCACATAACAACACTCTACATATTTTGGATATTGAATATAAAGACAAGGCTATGTATATTTAAATTGCTTTGTATTGTATTTTCTATTTTCCTTGCACACCAGCTGGCCGTGTGCACAGTTAGTGTTTTGTTGTTTTGTTTGTTCGTTTGAAGTCAGAAATGCCAGTTCAACATAAAAAAGCTTGCCTCAGGAAAGTTCTTGGACCTTAGAAACCTTCAAGCAATGCAAGACAGAGCTTAGTCTGAGCGTCTCTCGTTTCACACAAATGCCCTAACCACTGTGCTGTGCGCTGTTTTGGGAAGCTGATGGGGTCTCTTGTGAAAGAGTACGATTTTCTCCCTACTATAGCACAAAATAACCCACAGAAAGAAAAAATACTTCACAAGAATCACAACCTGTTTTCCCACATCATTCTGTTCTCGAGCCAAAGCTACTAAGAAATTACAATCTCCACATCAAACTTCCTCCTGCCCCACCTTACATTAAGTTTCTGTGCATATGGTTTCTTGTAAACTTAAGAATAGGGAAAGGCATGAAGTCTATTTAGTTTTAGCAAGTTCTCTAGTCAGAGAGAAACCATTCTGAGTCATTGTACATCCAGGCAATGCAGTTTTAAGAACATATGCAAGACGTAAGCTTTACCTAAGCAGTACTACCACGAGAATGAGGTGCTGACCCCTGGCAACAACTGCTTTTTGAAAAAAAAAATCATCAACATAACATATATATGCTACTTATACTTTGTTAAATAGGCATTTTTTCCTCTATATACTCTACTGATAGCTAAGTCGTGTTTGATTACGTAGCTTTCCATTTGCCTTTACACCAACTCTAAGTCTTTAAATACAACTGCCATCTTCAGGAAAAAAGCACAATTGACAACCTCCCTCCTAAACCGGCATTCCACATATGGAAACATGTTGCTAGGCAAAACTACAAACAATATGCCTCAGTGCTTGCTATAGGAAACAAACATCATTTCAGTGTTGCATCTCCTTTCAAAAACAAAGCTTCTATGACATGGAAAGCAGAGGAAATGAAATAAAAAAAAAAAAAATCTGTGATTATACTACAAACGCCTTTCCAAAGGAATCACGAGTTGCAGCTCAGCAGAAAAGCGTATGTAGAAATATACCTAATAATTTTACATACAGTTCTGTTAAATGTAAATACAGACTGCATAGTCGAGATGTGATTAGAAATTGACAGAGCATGAGATCAGATTTTCCCAACTGTCAGCCACTTCTCTGCCGCCTTCCTTGTCACACCCAATGAAGAGTTAGTGTTTTTCAATTTTGTGTACTTTTAAATAATATATTTTCTGCAAAGTAACCATATTTACCTAAGAACCTGTGGTATGTTTATCTCAGGAACACTTAGATCATGAAAACATAGCATTAAAAAAATGGGCACTTTGCAAAAAAGCTGAAAATTATTACATCAGTTGAGTATGAAGAGGCAGTTCTCAAATACTACTTTTGAAGTGCTAATGAAACGCAAAAACACATAATGCATATAATTTCTACTACGGAATAACATGATTTACAGTTGTGCAATCTAAGTGCACTTCCGTTTAAAGAAACACAGTATTTCTCAAAAACAGGAAAAAATGAGCATTTAACATTAATTAAAATATTAGTACACTAAGAATAACTCTGAGAAACAGGCAGAAACTCAAAGTAATAAAAAAGTGCTGTTTTATCTCTTTGAAAAGTGTCAGCTGTTACAATGAATGAGAAAATAAACTGATCCATCTTCTTTTAAAAATTGCTTTTAAAGGCATTTAAAAAAACATATTTTCCAATAGAAAGCAGAAAACTCGCAGCCTTTCATTTGAGTGTTTTAGCCACAGCACATCATTTTGTCTGAAGCTTCCTGCCCTCATGAAAGCGTTCCCCATAATACACGTATGGAACCAAAATTCTGTCCAGGTAGATTTTGTCACACCTGGATTCCATTCTGTCTCCTGCATTTTCGTTTCCAAGGCTGACAGTCTCACTGTTGGTAACCTGAACGTGACACAAGGCTTAGGTCTGAAAACACCTTATGAAGAGCATATTTACTTTTGCCCACCAGTGAAAATTGTCCTTAGTGGTCTGATCAGGATGATCACCTCATGCTGGGAAACGGTGGAGTAGTGCATTTTCTTACTTAATACTGACCTGAAACACTTAGAATCACCTACGAAGTTAATCCTACACGTGGATGTTATTCCCCCCATTTCCTCCTCCCCCATCAATACCATCTGACTGGGAGGAAGACGGCCGAGAGTTCCTCGAACGAGGCTGGCCGTTCAGCCCAAGCGGCGTTCCCAACCGATGGCTCATTTGGGATGCCGTATCATCCGATTCCCATCGCTCCAGCTCCTCCCGCACAAGTCGCTCCATTTGTTCCCTGTGGATTTCATTGTCACGACCCAGTCTTTCATCCTAAACAGATTAAAAAAAAGACACAAGCTGGAAGCGCAGCTTCCAAACTGCAGTCTAAGCAAAACCCTGCGCAAACACGGGAAATTCTTGTATCACTCAAGTACTTACACAGGCTAGTGGAGAAACAGCTAGTGCAGTCAACTGCTTGCTTTCCAGTGACGCGACGCCCAGGCTGCCACCTTCACTCGTGAAAGCACAGTTTGTATTACAGTTTCTCGTATTTAAATCTGCCTCCAGAAGTGTAAAGTATACTGGGGAGAGGACACCCCCAAGGAAGTCCCATTTCAAGAATCAAGCAGAATTATTGGCTGGGACAACAGCAACAGCCAGGAACACCCCATCTGTGACAGCGCAGCTGCAAGTCTGACCTACATAACCCACCACGACAGTCCATCCCGCCCGCCCCGTAACAGCCCTGTTCTGGCTGTTCTTGCCCCATCAGGAAGCTGACGGGTTTTAGCATCGACAGAAATAACACGTTTGTCCCGCTGGCCACTTCCAAAAGGCCCTCAAAAAAGAGAAGGTGGGAGGGGCGGCAATAGAAGCCAGATGACCCCGGTGGCAGAACTGACTCGCTTCCACCTGCCACACACAATCATGGGAAAAGCAGAGCAGGCTGCACGACTTGCAGACCTGGGGCCTGCTGGGCTGGATCCCACAGATTCTAACAGACTAGTCCATAAAAAGCTTTGTATGAATCCCAACAGACACCAAGGGATGAAGGAGCTGCTTCAGCAACTACCGAACACCACTGCTCTCCAGTTCAGGGGCTTAAATGGCGCTCCGTTGCCTCAGCGTAACACAGGCCTGCTATAAGATGGGTTGTCATATCTGAAGTTTGCATCATGTCCCTAAATGTTTCACGTTTCATGTTTTCCTAGGACAAAACTGAAATCATTTGGCCACTGCCAAAGCACCCACCTCGCCTTTACCACCACTCCCTCAACCCCCGCAAGCCAAGCAGTAGGAAGAAGTGCTAACAGTAAGCAAGCCACGCAGGCAGCGACCAGACAGGAGGGAGTGGGTTTGTTACCTCTGTCACTCCATCTAGCAGTCTTCCCAACACATCTCTCCTTTTTAGTTTGGCTCTCTCCATCGCTTCGAGCTTCACAATTACCGCATCGATCTTGGAGACAATACTGCCAATAGAATGCTCCATGCGATCGACCCGCCTCATGAGTCTGAGGGCAACAAGCGTGAGCTTCAGTGACTGATATTGCAGAGCCATTATCGTTCTAGCATGTCAACATACAGAGCAGATGAGGATAAGACAGCATTTTGATTCAGGCATGCATCTGATTTTCCACAAATGAGTCCTACTATCCACAAAGGGACAAGGTACCCAAGAGCAAGAAGATAACACAGGGGTAAAGCAGGAAAAAGTACATATTCCACTCTGTTTTCCCTGCTTTTAGGGCATCCTCATCAAAATTCGTTGGTTCTAGTTCTCAGTTCTTCATTGAGAGAAGAATTCTAGAATTCAAGATTCTTCTAGAACTCAAATCCTTCATCCAGCTAGTGTTGCTACAGTTAATTAATACGGAGATCTATCATTTTAGACAAAATACACACTCACAAATAACTTAATCCTATTAAAAACAACAGCTGAAGTTCTCACTGAACCTAAAACAACCTCAAGATTTTACTACAGAAAAGTCTTCTGGCATTATCGTAGTACGACCATTTTCTCTGTCTTTTCAATGACCAGGTTTTAAGGACAGAGTCTTTTTTGCTGGGCTTTAATTTGGTTTCGGTTTTCTAACTGATTCCCATAAGCCTCTTTAAAGTGCTTCCAGTTCAGATATTACCTGAAAGCTACTAAAAAAGGAGTGACTTAAGCACCTTAAAAACGTAACATTTACTTTTATGAATAATTTCATTAATATTCAGAGTTACAGGAGAAACTACAGAATAAGAAAACCCACAAGAAAAAAAAAAAAACAACAAACCACCATGCAGATTCGCCCCCCTCAGAAGGATAAACTTACACTTGGAACTCTTCATAGGAAACCCCACTAGAGCTGCTGCCCCTCCTCCTGGAGCTGTGTCCGCTGTCTTCATCCTCATCCTCCTCCGAGTCATCCAAGCTCCGGGGAAAGCTGCGGCTACTCAGTGGACGTGGCAGAGAGCTCCTATCCAGGTCCAGATCCTCCTTTGTGAAAACACAAGTCGCAGACAAAGAAGATGTAAAGACTTTCACCCGTACAGAGGGGATGGGGGTGTCAAGGTCAAAGACCTCCTGCCCTCCATCAGCTGCCCCTTGTCTTTTTACAGTTCTGCCCAGACAGCCAGGGATGAGAGCAAATGTGAAAGGAAACAAGAGAATTCTTCTGGGGCAGGAAATCAGCATGGGAAGACGACTGGCAGATGGTGCTGGTGGCATACCACTCCTAATGCTGAGCTCACCCTCTCTTTCTCCAGGTCATCCCTCATCTGCTGATGTTCATGCTCTGTCAATTCCTGGTCCCCATCCTGGTCATATTTGGTAAATATTGCTTCAATCTCTGCATCTGTGTGCCCCTTCCTGAAAAGACAGTAAAAGAAAAAGAAAAGAGACAGTTCCCTTACTTCCCATTTTTCAGATGCCGAACTAACTTCAAGAATTAGAAAAAACACTTCACTTGGAACAGACTTTCATCCCAAGCCAAAAGCATGACTGATCCCAGTGCTGCCTATAAATTTACAACACTGGTAACAAAAAGCCTCACCTTTCATTAGTTAATAGCACAAATCTCCCCTACACTGCACCTTCACAACCATCCCTTTTATACCTCCTTGATTTGTTCCCTTTCCTTGAACTCCTGCTTGTTCACAAACTCTGGCAGTGGGTCTGACAGAAACATTACCATTTCCTCAAAGGCCTTGGATCTCTGCTTCCTCAGACCCTTTCTCCCACATAACACAGCAACTCAAGGACGTTGGGCCCCAGAGTGCCAAATCCTTCCTCCAGGGTGGGATGCCACCCCACTGTAGCAACACCAGCCGTAGTGCAGACTCCAGGGGCCAGAGCTCAGCAGGCCTCCTTAGTTAAGACTTCTCTTCCACCTCAAACTGACCATTCTTTTGCCATTCCTCTCTTCTTCAGCAGTTCCATGCTACAGTTTGAATTCTCCTTTGTGCAATGCCTGGAGACCCGTATGCAAAGATTGTTTACCTGTACAGGTTTGTTTACAAAAACCTCTCACCAGCTACAGGAAAAGCACATGCTTTGTTACCCACTAACCAAAAGAAAAGCAGACTGCTGTGTTGTCTTTATTCACATTAGCTACTCTTGCCACATCGCAGAAGCGAGAGAAATTCGCATCCAAGACTTATATCACATGTCTCTGGGGATACTATTCAAGGTAAGTAGTAATAGCTTCCTTACCCTTTTAGGTCTTGCCGGAGTTCGTCAAAGTTTAGTTTTCCCCCACCTTGTCTCAGACTTTCTGAAATGTCATCAACAGTAGTCTTCTTCAATTTAAGTTTGATCATGGCTTTGTTGTAGCCCTAAAAGAAAAATTGGAATTTTGTATTTTACTTGTCATGAAATGTTAACACCTGATTTCTAATAACTTTTTTTGAATACAAAAATCAGCTAGTGTACACTATCATTTAGTGTGTTCCAAAAGCCCTGCAAGAATCTGTCTTTTTCTCCCATTTACCCATCTTTTATTTCAGCGTTTAAATGGACAACACACAAATAACTTCACAGTTAAGAGGTAAGGCTTTCATCGTTCAATTTGCACTGCAGGTCAGTAGGAGTACTTTGTCCCAGTAAGATACATCTGACAGTTAAGTGACAGTTTCAAACAATGCTGTCAAAACAGGTACAATGTAGGAATGATTTTTAAAAAAAGTCCTCATCCCAACAAACTAGCACTTTTCATTTTTCTCTGCTCTGTTTTAATAACAGTTTCCAAGTTTTAAACTCCGAGTTACTGGTCATGCTAGGTATGTGTTTAGACATCTCTGACCACAGTAAAGCACTGTATCCATGCCAGAGCACACACATGTGCACGTTTTTCCTAAACTCTGATTCAGGTCAAGCTCTTAACTTTCTGTTCAACAACCTTACTGGCAGCTGCCCCTCAGGGCTCCCAACACATTATCCAAGATTTGCCTCATTTTATTGCCTGAAATGAGGTAATGCTGAATTCTGTGGCCAAACCAAATAGCAGTTTAGCTTCACCAGTTCCATAGTACTATACATACCCAGACAGACAAATCCTGTGTCATATTCAGTTCCATATTACCACATGTACCTAGACAGACAAATCTTATGTCGTATTCAGTAGGCTCATCATTCGATGCAATCTCAGATGACCAAAATACATCGTGATGGAAAGTTTCCATTCATTTAATTTACATTTAGCTCAGAATCGTTTATTTTAACTAAGAGATGTGTATTTTCATCCGCTGCTGCCAGCTTTACTTTGTACCATTTATATAGCGTTTTATGGAGTAAGTTCAGATGTGAGGAATGAGATGTCAAACAAACAAAATGTTACTTTTACCTTTCTGATAAGGTCAGACAGTTCCATTTCTGCCTTCTGTTGTGCCATATCAGATTTGACTTCAGAGTACGTGTCATTGATAATGGCCAAAAACATGTTCTGTTCATAAGGGAAATGAAAAAGCCCACTTAAAAATTTCAACCAGTCTGAGCCCTACCACTCCTACAATATATATGCAGACATATACATTAATTTTTTTTTTTAAAGGGCCAGGAGAAAATGGTGGGCTGTTTAAAAAGCACTAACATCAAGAGCTTGATATATTGAAATATGATGCACTGCAGTATAATGAGCTTTAATCAAGACTACTGATTATTAATATAACTGAAGAATTACTTTTGAGAGAGGGTTCATGCCTACACACAGCAGTGGCAATAAACCATGCCTGTTTAACATTATATGTTTAAGTTTGGCCTTCTACCTACAAGGCCAAACTTACACAGTTAACAACTGTGAATTAAGCTAGGCAACAGAGCTGGCAACAAAAATGCCTGAGGAATCAAGTTCACTATTCGTCCCTTAATAACCAGCACAAACACAAGGTTCTTACCTAGTTACAGCTCTGCTTGCATTTCAGACTAAAGATAAAAACAAAAAAGCTTAAAATCCGAGGGTTGGTATGTATGCCACCAACTCTGAAAAGAGTTCAATCGCTTGTTCAGACGGAAGGAAAAAAAAAAACCTGGTCTCACTAACCCTGGGCAACAAGCATGTAACTTACGTGAGCCATGCTGTCATTACTGAGGGGGTCCTGCT